TTTTTACCTAGATGGTGTATTTACTTAAGGGTGGCTTTGGGGAGGATGGCAAAGATTTGAGCTCTTCCCTAAAGCTATCTTGCATAGAAGCACACTATTTTCACTTGAATGGTGCCCTATTTGAGGTACCATCCTAAGTACCTAGTAGGAGGAAGGCATGAAAAATTATCGGGGCTTTACTCTTAGCTCTGTCTTGGGAGAATGAAAATTACATGATGAAAGGTGTGATTAGCGAGGGTGGCAAGGGTAGATGTGGGGGCTTTAATCACTGCGGCAGCCACTTGGCTTGCTGGGTGCTCCAGCGTTCCCAGTGGTGGCGTGGAACGTGGGTGTTCTTGTGTGTAACCCTGTCTTCCACTTACTAGCTGTGTGACCTTGAGTAGATTTTATTTACTTTCTTAGAACCTCAGTTCCCTTATCTGTAAAACAATAATACCAACAGTTCCTCCTTATCCAAGTTACTCCATGGCATACTTACAGTGTACTGTACTAAAAGTTATGTGAATATGGTCTCGCTCTCTTTCTCTTTTTCTCAGAATATTCTATTATACTACATTTTCAGGTAACTGGAGCCATGGAAAGTGGGAGCACAGGCAAGGAGGGCTTGCTGTCACCATGCCTGCCTCAGTGGCAGTTGTGATTGGAGGCAATGTGTATACAGTGCCTAGCTCCTGCTTTGCACCTAGTGGGTGCTCAATAAATGGTGACCCCTCCTGGGTTGCAGTAGGTGGGGTCGCTGTAGGCAGAGAGTGGTTACTACAGAAGCACAGGTTTGCCACTGTGAGGGCCTTCATTAGGGTGAAGATGGGGTCTGTAGGGCCGGGGATAGTTTTGCAGGGCTTGGAAGAACAGCTTGAATAGGACTTAGGCGCTGAAGGAAAAGGTGGATTTGAAGATACCATGAAGATTTTCAACCCAGACAATGTCAAACTAGGTGCCCTCCCCCATACCCCCAAGTGGGGACTGAGCAAGAAAGTGGATTGGATTGAATCTGAGGTAGTGCCAAGTAGAGTAGATTTGGGGAAGATAGTAGATTGCAGGAGTGAGTTCTGGGCTAAGCAAGCAGGTTTAATAAAATACTGTGGTGACAGAGTACTAGTCAGGATATCAATGTGGTTGCTGTAACCCAGTAAACGGTGACATAGGTAAGGGAGAAGTCAGAGCATAACCCATGCAGGCTTCAGACTCCTATTCTGCTGCTCGTTGCTTGGTAATTGGTAGCCATTATTCGAATGGTCCAAGATGGCTTATCCATGTGCTTGCATTGCTCCTGACGGACGGGGCAATGGGGTAAATGGGGTGTCCTTCACACACCCAGCCCTCTAAGAGTACAACCTAGATATTTAGATATTATAAGCACAACTCCTCCCATTCCGTAGGCTGGACTTGGTTTATGGTCTCACCTAGCTGCAAGGGAGGCTGAACACTGTAGTCTTTGTGCTGGGAGGCTGGGTTCCTAGCTACAATTCTAGGGTTTTGGAAGAGGGGAAGAACGGGTGTTAAGGGCAGCTGGTAGTCTCCACTATAGGCAGTATTAAGTAAAGACCTGTGGTTGGGTGAGAACATGGAGAAAAAGAACATGACAGAAGTACTGTCACTGGACTAGAGCAAGAAGTTAACATAGGAAACAGACAAGTAGTCAAAACAGGCTGATACTGGATGTGGGGATGTGGGTTGCAGCTGTGGTCAGCTGTGTGAGATCTTGCAGAGTCTGGGAGAAATGGATTTGGTGATTTATAACTGGGTGGAAACACACAAAGGCTGGACACAGAGGGCAAGTGCAGGACAGGTAGGGGCAGGAGGTGTGGAGCACACTGGGAGGCTCAGCAAACAGCAGGACTTGGGAACCCCAGGAGTCAGCCAGGTTAAGTGAAATTAAGTTCACATGTCTGAAGGGGTTTACAGATATTAATTTTACTTTTTTTTTAATTGGGAAGAAACTTTTAAAAACCTCTTAACTCAAAGGAACTAATCTTTTTGGGAGTTTGCTAATGTGGACGTAAATTTTTTCTTTGGCAGTTTTTTTCCCCATCTCCCCTAGATAATCTTATCTCCATTTTGAATCAGAAATCTTATTTATAGCTTCTCTGAAGAGAATTATTTCAAAGGGAGCAGATGCTTTGCCCTTTGGACTTATTTTCTTTTTAAAAACAGATAAGTGATCCCTCCTTTTTCTCAGGAAAGACAGTTAAATTATTAATTTAAAAACAATGATTGTAAGCGGAAAGGGGGCATAAATCAAAGTAGGAGAAATAAATTTGAATGCTTCCTGTTTTTATATTTCTTTCGTTTTCTTCTTTTGGAGGGAAACTGAAAATGCCAAAATTCCGTCTTTCCCTCAGGACTGGAGGAGAACTCAGCACAGCTGACATCCTTGCCAGACCTGGAGTGAAACCAGGGATAGCAGCATCTCCATATCCTTCCCCCCTACCCCTCTCCCTTGCCCCACCGAAGCAGCCTCTGTTCTTCCTGCTGTCTTGAGTTTGCTGATGGGGCACTGTGGCCAGGAGGCCTCTCAACTCGAGAGGCAGCAGAGGCAGGGTTTGAAGGCCATGTGATTTCTAGGCCTGGGCACATAACTCAGGATTGTCCCTGCAGAGAGCTGCCATCCACTTGGTGCCTGTCTGGGGATAGGTGGCAGAGGGGCTGCAGATCCCTCCGCACCCTCATGACTCACTGCACTGGCCCAACACTGGTGTCGAGGCTGGTATTGGAGGAGCTCATGCAGCTGCTGCCATGGGCACTAGAGTGCTGCAGTCTGGAGGTCAGATGGGATGGTGACGGGGGCCTTGGCACACACTGGACTGCAGGAAGAGGAAGTGTCACTGAGGGCCCCCCACACACAGAGAGGGCAGGGAGTCTGAGTCCGTGTCCTAGTCTCTGGATAGATTCTTTCTGCATCTCTCTGGTAGGGTAGCTGGTCCCCCTCACCTTGATCAATCCCAGCATCAGAAAAGTCACTCTTGTTCCTAGAGAGGCCCATGGGACAGGATGGGGGGCTCACTGGTCAGCAGAGCTCTGCCCTCAGGAAGGTGGAGAGGAAAATGGATAGAGCCAGGGACCCCCAGAGCAATAGCCGCAGGTTTTCACCAGAGCCCTGGTTGAGGAGAAAGGGAGTTAATACAGGTGATGTGAGCAACACAGTACCTAATGCACAGTGAGTATTCAGGAACACAGGCTGCTATTACCCGGTGGGCCCGAGGCAATGGCCCCAGTCCCACCCCAGTTCTCTTTATTTCCACTGATTCAGTGTATCTTTGGAGTCTTCTATCACTGCCACTTATTTGCTCTGTAAATCTCTCACAAACATCCTGATGTCTTACGAAAAAAGACAGTAGAACCAACTTTGTTGAGAAATACATTTTTTTTTGAGACAGTATCGTTTTTAAACATTTTTGAAGTTATAGATGGCTGTGGTGAAAAAAATTGAACCGGACTGAAGAAGACACAGTAAGAAGTAGTTTTCTCCCACTCTTCCTCCAACTCTCAGCTGCTCTTTTGGAGATGGGAAGAGACAGACTCTCACTCTGTCACCCTGACTGGAGTGCTGTGGCCTCAGCCTAGCTCACAGAAACCTCAAACACCTGGTCTCAAGCAATCTTCCTGCTTTGGCTGCCTGAGTAGCTGGGGCCATAAGTAGCTAGTAGCTTAGCCACCCACCTGCCTGGCTAAGTTTTCTGTTTTTAGTAGATGTTTTAGTCTTGCTCTGGCGATCCTCCTGCCTCGGCCTCACAGGGTGCTAGGATTACAGGTGTGAGCCACTGGGCCGAAACACTCTGCCACTGTCGTAATTCTTAAACTTCAAAATGGTTATTGGATATACTTCCAAAACTTGTAAAGAATGTGTGTGGAAATGTAATGTTGAAAACACCACCTCCCAGATGTGCTAATGTACTGTGACACTGGCGCTGTCCTCTCCCTACTTGTAGTGGGCAGAATTGACATTGAGCCTCTGGGTCCAGCCCTTTCAGCTGCAGTCCTGGCTGATGTCCTTGAAAGAAGTGCAGGGAACTTGGAGGCAGCTCTCCTAGGGGAACCCTCGTCCAGACAATATAGAGACAAACTCCTTCAGCATTTCCTGAGAACCCAGGCCTTGGAGCGCCCTCCTGCAGTCTCAATGTGCTCAGCCTCCACTGTTAACTGTGTTACTCTAATTTCATGTAACTGCAGGATCTTTGGGTTTGCAGGTCCCTCTACCCACCAAGAGTCCCTAGTGGGAAGTGAGGTACATGCTGGAAGTGGCTTTTGTTTTCTCCTTAACATACTGCCTCCTCACCCCACCAGCCTATCTCTCTGGAACTTCAGCCCTGTGTGGGGGATGCGGATCTGACGCCAGTGAGCATCTCTCTTCTAAAGGCAGAGGGTGAGCACCCCCTACACCCTGCTCTCCTCCGGCCCTGGTCTCCTACTTTCTCTAGGATTCTGCTGGTGGGATAGCTGCTGAAAAGGAAATGGAAGCGTGCTGTGCGACAGGACAACTGCATGATGTCTGTCAGTCTGTTGGTCGGTCTGACTATCCATCCACCTAACCTTTCTTTATATAGCCTTTTTATTTAGAAACCTTTGCACTGGAGCGTACTTCAGCATACCTCATTCCTTCTAACCACTGTATAGAATTCTGTCAGCTAGCTACATCAGGTTTTATTTACTCCTTTTCTTACTGATGGACATAGATTATTGTGGGAATGCAAGTACGTTTAAAGACACTTCATGCCTCTGCCCACGTTCCCTCCTCTCTGCGAACCTTTACGTGTCACCTAGTGCACAATCACCTGCGTGACAAGTGACGCCTCCTTCCTTGTGAGTCCCCAGCCACTGTCTGTTCTTGCCTAACCCTGGGACCCTTGGTTTGACAATTTTGACAGCAGGAACATGAAATTATGATTTCAGGGTAAGGAGCAGCAGCCAAGCCGGGTGAATGTCCAAATCCCAGGTGCCCATTTTTTCCTAAAGTGCATATTCTAATCCCAAGTGGGAGAAGCACATAACTAGGAAGAATCGGCATTTCTTCCTCTTTGCCAAGAGAAAAGGGAGGTGATGGATGTGGTGTCAAAAAAGGCGTAAATTAAATACCTTGCAGTCTTTCCCTGCCCTTAAATTTGGTATCTTTGGTGTAGGGACTACATAAGGGGCAGTCAGTGCTTTCATTTACACGTGGGATCTCGAGCCTACCAGAGGATGTCCCTGGTGAAGATCTTGAAAATTTGATCTTCACCAAAGTTGATTAGATCACTTAAAATTTCCAGGAGCCTGAGGATTACTGAAATAGTTGCCTTCGAATGGCTCATAACGATACATTTATGACACTGGATATGAGTATATGTTAATGTGTTTGAGATTTAAGTTAAAAAAAAAAGAAAAGGGAGGTGAGTAGAATTATGTGGCTGATAAGTTAGAATAAACCTGGAGACAGCAGCTCCCATGATTTGATATTTTACTGTATTACATAAAAGAGGTCTGGATGTATGTGGCAGTCCAAGGTTCATATGGTGGATCCAGGAAATAATCTCTTTCTGCTCCATCTACATCCATAGCATGTATTTTTTTTCATCTTCAGAATCATGGAATAGCTGCTAGAGCTCCGTCTGTCACATCCACAGGCAGGGAAAGCAGAAGTGTACAGGGCAGATAAGGTCTTTGTCACCTGTCTACCTGCCTTTTGTAGGAGCTTTCACAGCATCCATGCAACACCTAATTCTCATCAGCCAGAGATTGATGATATGCTACTCTTACCTGTATTCAGGCACTGCACCATCCTGAATAAAACTGGGTTCTGCTAGTGAGTAAGGGAAAGTTGGTACCAGGCAGGCAGAGAGCAGCTGCTGCCCTGAGTGATCTGGTCTGTGGTCTGGATTTCTCCAGCGTGCCAACACATAACGGGCAGAGACGTGAAATGGCTGAAGTTTAATCTCTTCACCTTTTCCCATCATTTGGGTTTCTGCCTACTTCTAAGTGTCTTGTCTTAAACGATTGCTTCCTGAATGATCAGGGAGCCCTGGTATAGCACTTGGCTATAATGTGGAAGCATACCACGTGTTCAAAATTTCTTTTCCCCACCTCCTCTTCAGAACAGACCTGTTCTGTGTACAGTCTGTGTGGGACACGGCCAGGTGGCAGGTCTACTGAGGCACTGAGGACCAGTAGTTGACCCTCCAGCTTCAGCGCCCATTGCTACCAAGCTCTCACCCTCAAGCTGGGCCATGTCCCTGGCCTTGCATTCATTGGGCCCTTTAATAAGTCTGGAATTTGCACCAGCACCCTCTAATGCCTGGAGGGTTCTCCCATTCCCTCACCCGTTTTGCAGACCCATTATCAGCATACTCTGCTCATTTTAAATGATTCAGTTCAAGCACCACCTCCCACAAGAAGTATTTCCCATTTCCACAGCATTAATATCCTCTCCTCTGAGGTCACAGAGTTGCCTGAGTGCACTACTGTGATGGTATTTATCATACTGGGCCATCAGTTAATGTACCAGCCTGTCTCCCCCACTACACCCTGGGCTCTTCCAGAGCCAGCAAGTGGATTTGCCGTCAACCTCTTACATCTAAAAGAAATTCTGGTATTCTTTGTTGAATGAATAAATGACAATTTTCAGTGCTTGGATCCACAGAGGGAGTGAGGAAGAGTTTGCAGGGTAGGCAGGCCTTTGGGGAATCTGAGCCCTTCTCACACCATAGCATGGGGAGGCTGTGCCCTGACGTCATCACAGCATAGAGGCCGTAGTTGGGGAGGTCCTAGTTTGTGCAGCTGAAGGGACTCATGAGACCTCACCAGCCACTTGAATAAAATGCTGGGCTTTCTGTAATGGTTTATTTTTGAAGGAACAGGTCCTTGGCACTGATCCTATTTGAATCTCAGAGCTCTATTTAACAGAAAGATGAGCTGGAGACCTCAAGTTATGTTTGTTGTTAAAGTTTGACGAGACACTTGTGTGAGTGTGTGTCATGAAGACTTTGCTTAAGTAATTAACATTCCTGTCAAGGCTCTTTAACAGGGTCCTGTGTTCTGAGCCCCTCCAAAGGCTGCTTTAAGCCTTTGAACTCCCAGCCCTTCAGTTCATGGCCAATTACTGATATGCTTAAGTTTCACTTTTCTAAAAAATACACAAAGGATTAGATTTTCCAGGAGAATTGTTTATTATTAGGAGAACCAACCTTGGAAAGTGAGGTGATTTCAAAATGAAGAGAATAAGGGTAGAAGTGGTCCTAGTGAATGTGTTGGGGGGAATCTAAACATACTTTTAAAGTTAGGAAATGACATGAGTTAATGAGACTATGACAGCAGCTTTCAAGTATTTGGGGGCCGTCATGAGATGAACGAGCAAGCATCTCCTTTTCTTCTTCTTCCTTTCTTCCTTTCTTTCCCCTCCATCCATCCCTTACACCTTACCATTCCTTCTAACTCCTATCAGGTGCCTTTACGTTTATAAAGTCTGTAAGAGAAAAATAACAAATTCTGGTGAGAAAGTAGAGAAAGCAGACCCCTGTACACTGTTGGTGGGAGTGGCAATTAATACAGCTGTTATGGAAACCAGATTCCTCAACAAAAACCTTAAAATAGAACTACCACGTGATCTAGCAATCCCACTGTTGAGTGTATATCCAAAGGAAAAGAAGTCAGTGTGTCAGGGAGACGTCTGCACCCCCACATTTCTCACAGCCCCATTCACTGTTGCTGAGCTGTGCAGTCAACTGACTGTCCACCAGTGGATGAGTGAATAAAGAAAACGTGAGGTATCTACACAACAGAATGGTATTCAGCTATAAAAAGAACGAAATCCTGTCGTTTGCAGCAACCTGGATGAGTCTGGAGAACATTATGTTTAGTGAAATGAGCCAGAAATAAGAGAAATACCACATGTTCTCACTCACATGTGGGAGTCAAAAATACTGCTCTCTTAGAAGTGGAGAGTGAAATCGTGGTCACCAGGGGCAGAAGGATCACTTGAGGCCAGGAGTTCCAGACCTGCTTGGGCAAGATCAAGAGTCCATTTCTACAAAAAACAGAAAAGGTAGCGGGATAATGGTGCACACCTGTTGTCCCAGCTACTTGGGAGGCTGAGGCAGGAGGATGGCTTGAGCCCAGGAGTTTGAGGTTGCTGTGAGTTGTGATGATGCCATTGTACTCTAGCCTGAGAGGCACAGCAAGACACACAAACACCTACCCCCCCCCCAAAAAAAAAACAAAACCTCACCCTTCAAAAATAAAAAGCAAACTGTGATTTGTGGCTGAGTAAAATTGCCTTCCAACAAAAAAGTACTACATTTCCCAGTCTCCTTTGCAGATAGGTATGATCATGTGACTAAGTCCGAGCCAGGATGAGATTTAAGTAAAAGCATTTTTCCTCTTCTTGCTTTGCTGTGTGGCATGCGGCCGCAGTCTGGAGCCCCAACTCCAGCTTTTTAAGGAGGGCAGAGCAGTAAAACAAGGGTTCTGCGCTCTTCTGACCAAGAAGCCCCCACATCAGTCCTACGTTCCTTTGGGCAAGAAACACAGTTCTATTTAAGCTACTTACTTTAATTTTAGTTTTTATTTTGGCTATAGCTGAACCCACTCTTAACTAGGACAATTACAGAATATTTTCAGGTACATAATCTGTTTTGATTTTAGCAAGTACCCTGTAAGATATGACTGTTTTTATTTGACCAGTGAAAAAACTGAGACCCGGGCGTTATTTGGTTTCCTAAAGGTCACGTAGCCACCAGAATCTTCTCACAGAGTTCAGAGCGCATTGGGATCACATCACACTTCCTTAGCAGGCACAGTCACATGCCTGTCCCATCGACCTGACCTGAATTGGGCTGTCTTTGTCACCTACAAAGTCGGGTTTCACACATGGTAAGAGCTCAGTGTCTTCATGGCTCCCTGGGATAAATCTCTTCTATCTATCATCTGGAATCACTTGCATATTCATGTATATCTATATATGCAAAAACTGGCACAGTCTCACTTGATTCATTCCATCTAGTCTTCATAAAATATTTATGAAAACTCTTGCTATATGTCTAATGCTGCACTAGGAGCAGGGGAAACAAAAATAATCACATTTCCTGCCCCTGACGAGCTCACAGTTGATCTCTGAGGGCTCTGAAGAATTTCCTTCCCTTCCTAATTCTGAGATGATAGATCAGTGTGTCCATTTCATCAGTTTGCATGAAAGCAGTTTGGCCATTCAGAGAAAGCCCACACTCTCAGTGGGGGCACATCTGGCTGGCACTTCGTGGTGGTGTTAGCATATGATGCTCTGATGGAGGCTGGATGTGGGACCTGAAGCTTTGACAGCCTTTTGAAAACTGGATGAGTTTTTAAGCTGTGTGGCAGGAGTCTCAGCAGTTGAAAGCCTAGACGAGGATTCTGTCTGCGGCTCTCGTAGGTGTTAACGTTGTGTCCGGTTTCCCCATGGCCTGTGCCTCAACAGGTAGCAGGAAGTAAAAAGTCCAAGTATTAGACGTAGTTATTTATTGCTGCTAGCCCTGGCCTTTCTGAAGTGCAGGAGATTGGCATGATGAAGAAAGACTGTAGTGGCCGGGCATGTTAGCTCATGCCTGTAGTCCTTACACTCTGGGAGGCCAAGGTGGGTGGATCACCTGCACTCACGGGTTTGAGACCAGCCTGAGCAAGTGCGAGACCTCATCTCTAAAAACAGCTGGGCATTGTGGCAGGCACCTGTAGTCCCAAGCTACTTGGGAGGCTGTGGCAAGAGAATCTCTTGAGCCCGAGTTTTGAGGTTCCTATGAGCTATGACTCCAGGGCACTCTACCCAGGGGACAGAGTGAGACTGCCGCAAAAAAAGACTGTGCACTCAGCTGTTGCCAGAGCAACAACAGATGAGGCTCAGAGAGGCCCGCACTTCCACCAGCAGAAAGGTGCCTGAGAGTGCGGCCGACCCCCAGTCCCAGCAGGCTTTTATTGTGTTTTAACAGCATTCACCATATAGCATTCGCTGATTCATCATGATTGCTAGGGAGTAAAAGAACTTTGCGCTCATACATGCCAGTATGGGTGGCCTTGTTTAAGTATCAAGACTTAAAAAGAAACAATGTATAGGGGAGTGCAGCAAAGGGTCTTGGTTAAAATTAGCTTTTAAAGGGGAATGCTGGCCTGGGGGGAAAATGTCAACTGCCTATTAATTTA